CTATCACCTGTTCTATATAAATTACTGGTTGTTTTATTTTCTTTTATAACTATATTTTGTGTTAAAGTCTCTGGCTGTGTCCACAGACTCTCTTTTCTCTCTTTTTCTCTCTCTGTTGCATTAGATCCACCTTTAGGTCAACACACACACACACACACACCATTTGTTATCTAATTTGTTATCTTTTTATCTAATCTATTGAGATATCCCAGAATATTCTGCATCTTGATGCTTAGAACTCAGTTATTGTGTCTTTGCCCTGTTAAAACTGGAAGAAAAGCCTTTATCCTTTTTAGAATTTGGTTGTAATTACTCACTTTAGCATAGTGTATAGCATTAGCTATAGCATAGCATTAGCTATAGCAAATATATTTTGACTTATTGCACGCTAATTTGATCAAAATAATTTCTGTTTTTTTTCTTCATTTGTTGTTGAGGGGCCAAAGAAAGACTTCAGACTAAAAAAATCCAATATTCTTCCTATTTTTCTTGGATTTCTTGGCTTTAAACGGATAAAGAAGATAAAAATGTGTCATCCATTTTTATGGCACCTTTCCTTCATACTAAGTTAACAGAATTTTTTATAGTCCTATTATGTTGAAATGTCATAATGATATGTTTTCTCCAGTTATTTCTGTTGTTTTAATTGGAAAGTTACTTGACAGGAAGTGGTGTGTGTGTTTGTGTGTGTGTGTTTTCTTTTTTCTTCCTAAACATCTGTTTATAAAGTTAAGATGTTCAAAATGAATTGAGCTGTAATTAAAAAAAAAGAGCATCTTTATTGGATGATTCCATGTTTCTTTACATTTTGAATGATGATGCGTTTCTTTCCCGGCTCCTTTCATTCCTCTTTTCAGAGTTAATGGGATGATGTCATCTTATTTGAGCTAAAGCTGTGAGTGGGTGCTTTAAAACATGTCACTCACTCAATTCAGCTGCCAGAGACTGCATAATGACTTAAGTTAATTAAGTAACTTTCCACAAACCACTATTCCTTAGGGCCCTCTTAAAGAACACACACTGTTATATACTGTACAGACATAATGTCAGACCTCAGGGTAAACAGTGACCCAGGAATAGGATTATTCAGGGGAAAAGTTTGACTAAATGAAATAGCTTGGCTTTTCGATATAAAAGAATGTAACCAAAGTGAGTTAGGGAAATAATTTAGATGCATCATTTGCATTCATCTTTGCATTTTATACTTTTTGTTCCTCGCCACGTAAGATTTTTATTTTTGCACTTTGTCACAGCCTTGTTTTTGCCACAGTCTTGTTAACCCTTTAAAGCCTGATCCAAGAATAAAACAAAACAGAAAATTGCTTTTTTTTGGTTTGAATTCCTTATTTGGCCTTTTAACAAAATATTTAAAAAGAAAAACAAAAATACATTTTTAATATTGATAATTTATTACTATGCGATAAGTCCAGATTATTTTTTGTGTATCTTCTGCCCCCTGTTATCAGGTGTATCTGATTGTGTACAATAGGATTTTGAGCAAAGTTTTTACCATTAAATTATGCAAAAGGAGTCAGACGCAAAAAATTTCAGAAACCGTATAAATCAAATATGACACATTTGGCATTATATGGTTAATCTTGTTTTGATACTTTGCCATAGTCTTGTTTACTTTACTTAGTATTTTTTGCCATATTCATGTTTACTTATTTGATACTTTGTTCACAGCCATGTTAAGAGAATTGAGAATGCTCTGACCTAAATCTGACCTGTTGTATTAATGCCTGAAGCTCTTTAATGACAGATACGTGCTTTGTGACACATTTTCCCACTTGGAACTGCGAGTCTGAGTTATGAAAAGCTCGAGTAGACACCGGAGATAAAACTCCTCCCGACGTTTCCCCTCATTCTCCAACACTTCAACGCCCCGGGGAAAGATTCATTAGAGCAGGAGTGCAGAGATCAGCAACACGGAGAAGATGCTGCTTCATATTTAACAGCAGAATCTGCTCCAAATGTGAGCCGTTTTCATTAAAGTAATGGGACACAATCTCATAGCTCTACAGGACTCAGACATTCAACAGAAAAAAACACACTCAATAGTTGCTTCTGTGATTGTTTTCTTGTATATGTAAATCAGCAGGATGTGCAGAAAAAAATATAATAAATCAAAGAAAGTTTAATGAAAAGTTACACTAAAATCCTCTGAACTCTTTCCATACGGGTTGTTTTTTAGATAGATAGATAGATAGATAGATAGATAGATAGATAGATAGATAG